GTGTAAAGGGGAATATAGGGGGGGAAAAGACTAGGAAAATAGGGAGAGGCTAGGTTTGGCACTTAAAACCAAATTTGGAGGTGGTGGGGGAGACTTGATCCTGAAGTTAACTGAGGGGAGGTAACACAGTCATATCTATGCTTTGGAAAAATCACTGTGGCAGCTGAGTAGATGAGGTATTGGAGTGGAGAGACATGCAGCAGAGAGACCAGTTAGAGTGCCTGCTGCAGTAGTCCAGGTGAGAAGTGATGAGGGCCTGACCTAGGGTGATGAGTAGAGAGAAGATACATTCCCAACAGAGTGGAGATACTTTCACAACTTAAGAGATATTATGAAGGGTTATAGGGAGAGACTGAAGATTAAAACAACAGTGGGATGACAGTGGGAACAATCTGCTAGAGATATGGAAGGGGATGGAATCAAAGATTCATGCAGCAAAATTTGTCTTGGCAGTTAAAAGGGCCATTTCTTCATGAGAGATAAGAGTAAAGGAGGAACAGTGTGGGCAGATACGTGAGTGTTTTGAGAAAAGAAAGCTCTTGGCAAAAAGCCTCAACTTCTTTTTAGTGAAATATAAGACAAGTTCCTTAACTGAGAGGAGGGAATACCACAGGAGGTATTAGATACTAGAGCAGTGAAAAGGCTTATAATAGCCATTGCTATGAGGGGGATAGCGCATTGATTAGTGAAGTGTAGAATTGCTTTGCCTTCAATGAAGACCCAGTTGAGATTATATAACATAAATTCATAGTAGACCCAAGTAGTATGGTTTTGTGATTTTTCTCCATCTTTGTTCAGCTGCATGTTAATAGTAGCAAAGGAGAATGGTGGGAGTAATCCAGAGTTGGGATTTGACAAAAGTATGACTAACCACAGGACAAGGAGGCAACAGATTTGATTGTAGGGGTTGATATAGAATTGAACTACTTCACAATTGAGATAGGAAAGAGAGATGAACATTGTCAATGCAGAGGTGATGTCCTGGGGAAAACTGACAGGTGGAAGAAATGAAGGTCAAAGTGAAGACAAAAGACACGGTTAAGACATAGAGAAAAATGACAATAAAATATCATGATCAGGTGAAGGGATTTTGGAGTTCATTAACGTGAAAGTAGAACACTGTACCAATGGTGCTTTGAGGAAATAGACAAGAAATAGAAGCATATTGGGAAACAAACTATATTGCCATAAAACATGAAAACAAGTGCTATTCATAAAGTGGTATAGTACAGACTGAATAAGTAGCCAATGACAATGGACTAGAAAAGGAGTGGCATTTATTAGAAGTGACTTCCTAGAGCAGCTGAATTTTGAGCTGGGCCTAAGAGGTCATAGACATGATTTTATGAATACATAGGCAAGAGTTTCCAGGTGTGGGTAATTCACTCATTTCAGCAAGCATTTATTAAGTATATGCCATTTACCAGGCCCTCTCGTAACCACCAGGGATATACAAAGGGGTAAAAGGCAGCCTCTGCCTTCAAGGAGCTCACAATCTAATGGGACATTCCTATGTAGCACTGATGAATATAAAAACCAAAGTGGGAGTTAATAAGCTGAATGCAAAAAAAAAAAAAAAAGCTTAGAGAATAATGAGAGATTAAGTTAGTGAGGTAAGCCTCTCATGTGTCATCGTACCAGCTTTCATACTGATTTGTCTCACTAGGTCCCTGACCCTTCTTCCTTAGTCATCAGCGTTTTCTGACTTTCCTTCCCTATCATTTCTTTTCCCCTTTTGTCCTCTGCTCATACAATTTGTCTGCTTCAGGTCAATCCCCAGGATTGACTGTAAACAGCTGGAAACAAATTCATCATCTTCTTAGCATGAGGTAAAGAAGGGGACAAGAGAGTCCGTAAAGGAAGATTTAAAAGTGAAGGAACAGGCAAGTAATATTGGGTTTGGGAAAGTTAGACCTCCTGAAGTATGCAGAGCTGAGACATCACCCCTCTGCTGGGTAGCAAATTGAAGCTACGTTGGATCACTGATCCAAGGAGCAAAAGGATATAATAGGGTACCTTGACAAAGGGTGTTAGTGACTATATTAGACCATCTGACTGGGTTTTGGGAAACAAGTTCTGCTCCCCATTCTACCATTAAAATGTCCTCCTCAGTGCCTCAACTTTTCTTATTAAAGTACCATGCTATGGTTCCTAGAGTGCTGAAATTAGAATCAGGAATACCTGGGTTCAAATGGCTATTCTAACACTTCATTAATGGCAAATCTTAACCTTTCTGAAGTTACTCATCTATTGAATAGTGATGATAATATTTATAGGACCAACTTCACAGGGTTGTTACGTGAGGCTCAAATCAGGTAATATATTTAAGGCACCGTGCAAAACTTAAAACACTAGATAGAGTCAGCTATTAGAATTGTCATCTATAAGATCAGGGTAATACTGACCAACCATTATAAATTAGAGCTTCCAAAGAATAGAAAGGTCTAGCTGAATATAAACATCAAGTTGTAAATACATGGACTAGCCCTTCAACTTGCATATAATCTTTTTTTTTTTTGGAGATTGGGGTATGGAAATAAGTCTCAGTAATTGCTCAGCATATAAGTTAAATTCCTGTTTAAGTCACATCAGAATGCTGAAGGTTGTTTTGCAGAATTATAGGCTGCCAGGGTTGAATTTTTACTATCATCTCTTTATGTACTTTGGGTTACATGGATATTATACCTTGGTCAGCTCTTTATCACAGACATCTTGTATAGATGGTTGTGTGTGCCTAAAGAGCAATAATGAATACCTCCATCATGAAAATAGAAATTAGGATAGTGGGATCATATTCCTTTGTCTAACCCTGGATGGGTCTAGGACCTTTGTCAACTCAGTATACCTGTCTTTGTCCAGATCTGACCATCATTAAAAAATTATAAATAATAACTTGGTATTTGTAAAGCACCTTAAGGTTTGCAAAGCACTTTACCTGTGTTATCTTATTTGATCCTCACAACAACGCTGTAAGGTAGGTGCTGTTATTATTCCCATTTTACAGATGAGAAAATTCATCTGTAAATCTTTAGGTTCACAGGGAACTGTAAAAATTTTTTCATTGACAGCTAAGACATCTGCTTGGTATGTGTATAATATATATGTGTATGTATGTATATGTATATGTGTGTCTGTATAAATATATTCATATGTATTTTACATATGTATATATGTGGACTATATGGTTGTATATATGTATGCATGTGTATATGTGTGTGTGTGTGTGTCTGTATATGAAGCAATATACAGATTTATGTCAAAGCTCAGCAATCTTCAGAAATACTGAACTGTCTCTCTCCAACATTGTGATAAGATTAGGGGGGGAATTGGACAGGAGATGCTGCTAAACACTGACTCTCTCGAACCAGTAGGCAGGTAGGCAAGAATTGGCTGCTATTTTCCATAGAGTACAGTTCTAGTTACTCTTTAGTGTTTGGAAATGGAAGATCAGCCTGTGTTTACTGAGGTTACTAATCCTTAGTCTGTATTTTAATATTTCATGGAATTGTGCCTCACTTCTATTGTAGGCTTAAATATTGCCAAACAGACAAATAAGAATACTGTATACAGATAAACTAGCCAAAGGCTTATCTGAATCAATCAAACAGAAATTCGTAAATGAAGCAGCTGTGATTATAAAAGATTTCTAAATGAAAATGAGTGATTAATGGTTGGAGAGAGCCCTCTGTCATCTCCAGGTCTGACGGCATTTCATCACCTATGATCAGGCACTCTAATGGGCCAGCAAAGTCAAGTAAAAGAGTAGCAGTGGTTTGGTTGGAATGAGGCATGTAGCCATATTGCTGCTGTCATCCCTGAAGGCTGGATTAGTTACAGATATGAAGCCACGCCCAAGGAATTTCAATGCAGTCCTGTGCTAGAACTAGTTTCAAGAGTTGTATGGTCAATTACAGAGCCAAACCATGGCAGATCTACCTGGGAAGTAAGAGAGCCATTTGAGTTTTGGTCTAAAACAGACCATTTTACTCTACCCTCGTTCTCTATTCTGCAAATTGTATCAAAAGACTCCATCCCCTTTGTAATGGAACTTGTAGAAGAGTTCCTTCTAATTCAGAGATAATTGCATGACTGCAACAGGGGTCTCCACGTAATTATTTTTTTCCCTTGAGACATGGCAACCAACTCACACCAAGCCTTTAAGTGGCTGACTAAGGAACTGGACTATGCCTCGAGGCAACAAAGTTGCCAGGTAAGGCCAGGTAATATGACCACTTCATGTAAATAAAGTCCTATATTATTGGAAGTAGAGAGAGGCTTAATTTTTTTTTAAGTAATTGACTAGATAATGTATGGAATTGGTAGAGATCTAATTTTTTACTACTGGAAAATATTTGCTAAGTGGTTCAGATTATTAATTAATAATACCAAATGATTATTCTGTATGATTTCAATATCCTCTACATACTATCAGCTGGTAGTTTTAGCCCACTCCTTAAAGTCACCAACTTATTTGGTCTAATGAAGTCCAAATCAACAGCTAAAATTCATGTAGGCTTTGTTAGATAAAATTCCTCTTTATCCATTAAAATGCTGATAACTTAGTGACTTAAGGAAAGGCTATAGTGATGTTATCTAAACTGAGCAGAACCATTAGGTACCTTCAGAATTTCTCTGCTGCTTTTCCCTACTTTGTTTGCTACTTAAAGGAAATCCCTTTTAAAGAAAAGGGTATTTAGGAATATTACAATGTTTATGATGCTTCTGTTTAAATCTCTTTGAAGACTTTGTGTAGTCCAAGTCAGTATTAGGAAGCTTTCCCCAAGTAGTCTAGGGAAATAACTAACCCTAATTTTTCATCACGGACACCAGAATACATTTCAGTCTTCTCTTAACTCTAGGAGGTCTGAAAGAGCCTTCATATGAACTAAGTTACATAAACACATGTGCACGTCTCTTTTATGGCTCTGTGCCATCTCTGATTTTCTTCCTCTAGATTTACTCACCCCTCCTCAGGTTTCTTTTTAATTTGGTTTTTGCAGATGGGATGGGAAGAGTCCTTGCTCAAGATGTATATGCAAAAGACAACCTACCCCCCTTCCCAGCATCAGTAAAAGATGGCTATGCTGTCCGAGGTAAGGGTTTTGTCTTTCTTCATTAGTATTGGTCATGTGCTACGTATTTTTGAGGGATCTGGGCTAATTCCAGGCACCCAACTGTTATTGCATCTGCTTCTTCACTGTCTGTTAGAATAATTTTATTTACAGAGAAGTATATTCCCATGTGTATTTCCTGACACTAGGTCTAATGAGAATCTTTTACTGGAAGGCTCACTATTGCACAAAAACTCCTACTTGACAAATATTTAAAGAAGGGTCTTTGAATTCTGTACCTTCAGGTGTTAGTCTTGGTTTAGAACCACTCCCTAGAGGCCTGGGGATGTTTTCTTAGTGGAACCTCTAAAGACTCAAGACCAAGACGAGAGGAATCAATGCCAACAGTAGAGCAGTTGAGGTCAGATTTCAACTGAACCCCAGGCTACCAACAATTGGAATGATCTGTCCTCCTACTTTAATCACCAGTAAACTATTTACTGGGAAGAATGAAAGCTAAATTTCTGTCCATCCTTGGAACATGCCAAACTTCAGAGTTCTTGTAACTACAGATGGTGCTGTCAACACAAGCCGTGGAGCTACCACAGGCTGTGTAAATCCAGTACATAAATGCTATAGTAGTTCCTCCCAGTGGAAAGGCCAGTCTGAGACCCCAAAAATGGAAATGGTAACTGAATTGCTTAAGGACTGTCAAGATCTTTCCATTAGTTATAGATTCAATACTGATGGGGTTGAGAAAGTGTCTAGAAACATTTTTCAGGACATAGAGTCTATCTTCGTAGTTGGAGACGATAGAATCTTTTACTGCCTTTTACATGGGGCAATTAAAGTGATTTTCTTTTGTTCTTTGATTTGTTCTTTGATATATTTAAATATTTATTCATGTGTTACATCTCTGGTGTTTTGATGTGTTGGAAAAACATTTGCTCCGTCTCTCTCTCTGTGTAGTAGTGTCCTTGTTCAGAATTGTCAGACTTGTACTTTACATAACTCATTTTGTGTTAATCTTATATTGCAGTTCAACTTAGTATATATATGAAACCATACCTTCTTTCCTGAGGAGAAGGAAGCTCAGAGTTGATTCTCATTTGGCTCATTTCCTTCAACTGGCTGAACTAAGAACCAATATATTCAACAAAGTAGAATAGGCAGAGCAGAAACCCCAGACATGTAGCCCTGCCTTGATTCAACTGGTGCATTTTTAGCTTCCAAATTTCTCTGTCCTCTGATATTTATACAAAGAATATTGTCCAGAAAGGAAATTATTTTATTCTTCTGACAGCCTCATCAGCTCTTACTACTTTTTATTCCCTGCCTGGAGAGCTAGAATTCTGTTTGTAGCAGTGCCATTTGTGGTCTTACAAAATTATTGTAAAATGACAAAGGATTCTGACTTCAAGGGAAGGACAATAAGCTGAAGCAGATGAAACTCCAGAGGGATTAAATATTCAGTTTTTACCTCTCTGGCAATATAAATGAGGAAAAAATGAAAAAAAATTAATTACTTGAAGCAGAATTATTCTTAAAGAGAATGTTCTGTGTTTTTGCATGAGACAACCACAGCTTGGTAACATGAAACTGTATTGCTCAGAGCTTTTCTTGTTGCCAGAGAGAATGATTAGCCCGCATGAGTTATAAAAGCCTTTCTTGACTTGCATGAACTGATGCATAGTGAAGTGAACAGAACCAGGAGAACGTTGTACACAGTAGCAGCAATATCGTTCAATGAAGAACTATGAATGACTTAACTATTCTCAGCAATACAATGATCCAAGACAATCCCAAGGGACCAATTATAAAGCATAATATCTACCTCCAGAGAAAGAACTGATGTTGATTGAATACAGATTGAAGCATGCTATTTTTCACTTTCTTTCATTTTTTTTTCTTTTATTCAAATCTTCTTGTACAAAATGTCTAATAACTGCACATGTATAACCTATATCTGATTGCTTACCATGTCAGGGAAGGGCTAGGGGAGGGAGACAGGGACAGAATTTGGAACTTAAAACTTTAAACAGAAATGTTTTTTAAATTTTTTTTAAATTAAGAAGGAAAAAAAGCCTTTCTTGCTACTGTGAGATCCATCTAAAAAAGTTTTATGTGAATTACCTTGCAATAGCTTATAGTAACTTTTATTTAAAAACTATTTTAGAAAGAAAAGTATCAAATAAAGCAATATAATATATAAAGTTCAAGAGGATATCTACTGTGTAGCTGTCTGATATTTATTATTTGTGAAAGGTTGGCAGCGCTCTGAGCCACATAAAGAGGAGATGTAGTCTTGACCTTAGGAGCTCACAACCTAATTTGGATCAACAACTCAGCTATAAAGATAGCAATTATAGAAATGATTGAAATTTGAAGCACTAGGTTCTTAGGTATGTCTGCTAAGTCAATATATGATGACATTATGACTTAAACAGACAAAAGTCAAAAATGAGAGCCTCAAGCCACCAATGAAAAGCTTAACACATCACTATCTTGGGTTTTTCAAAAACTCCACCCAGGGAACAAATTATCTGATAACAAATTATCAGATAACAACAAATAACAAATTGTACAAATAATGTTACTATATTTTACAAGATTGGGAAATCATAGTGATTTTCTCTTCTTTGTAATTAAATTAATTCCTTAGTCTCTTTCTGCATTCCACCATCTCCATCAATCAATGTTCCAGTGAGAACCAGCCGAGGCAGTTGTTGACAGTACCCTAACAGTGCCTGTCTGCCCATTCTTAATCTTGTAGATTAGAGGTGTCAGATTTGCTGCTTGCAAAACTCCCAAGTGTAGCCCAAACCATATTATTAAAATGTAATTGGAAAATGTTTAACAAAATGAATACAAATACAACACAACATAGATAATGTTATTTTGTGGTTTTCTAAGTCAGTATGCTGCTTACAAGAACCAATTTCTATTTTAGTTTAACACCACTATTCTAGACAGTTTATTGTTCCCAGTATATACAGTATTACATCTCCCATCTCCATGCCTTTGCACAGGTTATACTCCATGTTTGGAATGCACTCTGTCCTCTCCTTCACCTCACAGAATCCTTAGCTTCTTTCAGAGCACAGCTCAAGTGCTACCTCCAACTGGAAGCCTTTCCTGACCCCTCCCTCTCCCCATTTGCTCTCTGTCCTCAATGAAAATAGTTTCTATATATTTTAACTTGTTGTTTTCTCCTAATAGAATGTAAATTTCTTGAGAGAAGGGACTGCTTTGTTTATATTTTTATCTCCCCAGAGCCTAGCACAGTACTTGGCAAACATAAGCTAACTAATGTTTATTCAAGGTATGTTGAATGAATGAATGGGTGAAGAACATTGAACTGTTTTAAGAGCCTTAAAGAGAGGTTGTTGTGTTACCAGAAAGTAATAGTAAAGCATGCTTTTCTGTCAATTCCTGTAAGAAATGGAAAATAGTATCACTTGGAATGTAGATTTAAGGCTTCAATATGTTTTTGCAGAAATCAAAAGTCACCAAAAAATCATGTCAAGAACCAGGGTTCTTAAAATAAAGATGTAAGCAAAAAACACAAATATTTTCTGAACACCCAGAAAAGGAGGCAACTTCTGAGTCCAGCATTAAACATTTGTGAATTGCTTACATAATGTGTTTGTTGTTAGATTTAATTTTGATTGCTTTTTATTGCTTCCTGCAAATTAAATTCAGTGGTTATAAAGTAGAAGAGAAACTCATTACTAGATATGTGAAAATTAGCTATGTGCTTCAGAAGACAAACAAAATGAAATAATAAGCCACTACCATGTTAAGAGTTTTTGTAAAAATCGACTCCATAAAGGGTTCATTCCTTGCTTTCAAGGACATGCAAAGTGGTGAAAGCAGTCTTTAAAAAATTCAATGTATTTTATGACAGTGAAGGATACAGTGCTGACTACTTGAAACAGTCTTCTAAATTAAAAATAGCAGTGTAACACAGTATAAAGAGTAATGGAGTGGGAATCAGGAGGCTTTGGTTTTAGGGACTCTCCCGCTAATCAGCTATTTTAGATATTAAGTATAGAAGTAAACCTCCACAGCAGTCTTACTCAGTGCTTCATTGTGGTATGGAGGTTACACTGGGTTGTTGAAGGCTTTGCCAATTCAGGTCTCAGCAGATCTTAACTAGCTGGAAATGATTCAAGTACAGGCTCAGGAATGATTTGTATGTAACAAGGACAAATCTGGCATGGCTAACAAGTTCAGAGGGACTCACGTGCCACCATCTCAGTGACAAGAAGATAAATTGTTTAGCTGCATCAGCTCTCAAAGACCAGTTACTCAATTGTGAAGGGGTTCCCACATCCAACAAAATTCAAGAATCTTAACATTTTAAAGTATAGATAATATGTTTTTTAACTTCCCTGAGTACTTTGCCGTCTCATTTAACTTTCCCAACAACTCCGTGAAGGTAGAGAAGACTGGGGCACACAAAGTTTTAGTGACATTCCCAAGACTGGATAGCTATGTAACAAAAGAGCCATAATAACTAAAACCTAGGTCCCCTTGCTCTCACACCATTATTTTTTCTATTAGGTCAATCTGCTATTTTTAAAACAGAAGACAATGTTTGAGGAAACCATTATTGCATCTTTCTCTGGCATAAATTACATCATTTTTTTAAAAAGATCCTTTGTACCACTATATATAATCCATGCATATGTATGTGTAGTTATACACAGTAAGAGTATGTTGAGGGAAAAATTGGGGAATTGGGAAAATTGGGAAAAATATATATTGCTGTTTTGGAACTGGAGGACGAGGATCCAAATCCTTTCCCTATAATCTACTGCCTTGTGTCCTTGGGCAAGACACTGACTTGTTCCAGACCTCAGTTTCCTCATCTATAAAAAGAAAGGTGTTAGATGGGAGATTAATTCTTAGATTATCTCTAAGGTTATTTCTTACTCTAAAGCCTAAGATCTTATTATTGTCCTCCTTTATGCTATGTACTACTAACATTTCATTCAGTGGCTTTGCTAGGAGACATACCAATTGAAAGCAGAAGAGTGGAATTTACAGAAAGGAAGGGACAGAGTTCATTCACCAACAAACCACCAATAGTATCATCAATGAGAAAGCCTATTCAAGTGATATTTCAAGTGGTATGTTGCAAACAACCAAATCAAAAGTTGTACAAATTGTTGCCTAATTTGCAGACCCTGGAATAATCTTATACTCAAAGTCTCTTTAGAAAGACTCCAGTGAACCAATATTTAATAGCACCTTGGACCTATCTCCCATTCTTTGGACTTCATTATTGCTATAGGTCAAGACTGATCATTGTTCTGTTCCATTCTATAGCTGCTGATGGCCCAGGAGACCGTTTCATCATTGGGGAATCCCAGGCTGGTGAACAGGTGAGACTCATATGTAGGATATGATGTAATTTGATTTAAACTAAATTTATTGGGCATCTGCTAAATGCAAGGCACAATGTTAGATACTCTGGGAAAGATACAAAATAAATGTCACAAAATCTTTGCATTCAAGGAATTTATAATTTAGTAGTGGAGATAAGACATATAAGATACCCCCAAAAATTTTACAAGGCATAAGTGTTTTATTGGAGAAGTATTGTGAATCAATTAAGGAGGAAGAATTCACTTCTGACTTTATAGATGAAGGAAGACTTCATAGAGAAAGTGGTGTTTGATCTAAGCCTCAAATGATGGGTAGGATTTTTGTAGGCAAAGGTGGAAAGGAAGGACATGTTAGGAGGAGGAGATATAGCATAATTAGGAAAGCACATGGCTTATTTGGGGAATATCAAATAGCCCAATTTGGCTAGAGCATAAGAGTACATAAAAAGGAATAATGGAAGATCTGACTAGGACCAGAGCATGAAAGACTTAACAATGTCAGGCTATGGAGTTTAGAATTTATTCTATAGGCAATGGGGAGCAGTTTTTCATCATAGGAGTGACAAGATCACAACTGTGCTTTAGGGAAATTATTCCGGCAGCAGTGTCTAAGATGGCTTTAAGAAAGAAAAAAGAGGGGCAGAGCCAAGATGGTGGAGTAAAAGCAGTAACTTGCTTGAGCTCTCCCCCAAAGCAATCCGAATACCTGTAAAAAATGACTCTAAACAAATTCTAGAGCAGCAGAACCCACAAAAAGACAGAGTGAAACAAATTCCCAGCCCAAAATAATCTGGATGGTTGATGGGAAAGGTCTGTGGCACCAGACTGAGAAAGGAGCGCAGTGCAGCTTGAGCTGTGCAGGGAGACAGGGCCCAAGAGCAAACCCAGAGCAGGCCTCAGGATACTGAATCACAGGAAACTGTGATGATTTCCAGACTTCTCAACCCACAAACACCAAAAACAACTTAGAAGGTTAATGGGAGAGGTCTGTTGGACCTGGGTGAGAAAGGAATTTGGTCCAACCCTGGCCCTAGCACAACCCTGGGGTGGCAGCCACAGCGGCAGCAGTTGCTTCCAGAGCTGTCAGCCCACAGACGTTGGGGGCATTGAGTGGCTGATCAGAGGGGGACTGCAGGAATCTCTTTGCTGGCACTGAGGCAAGATTTACACCCTTCACACTGGAAACAGGGACTTACCTTAACAAAGAGTTAAAAAGTCAGGTAATTGACTGGGAACATGAACAAACAGCAGAAAAAAACTGAGACCATAGAATCGTACTTTGGTAACAAAGAGGATCAAAACATACAGAAGAAAACAACAAAATCAAAGCTCCCACATCCAAAGCCTCCAGGAAAAATATGAATTGGTCTCAGGCCATGGAAGAGCTCCGAAAGGATGTTGAAAAACAAGTAAGAGAAGTAGAGGAAAAATTGGGAAGAGAAATTAGAGTGATTCAAGAAAATCATGAAAAACAAATCAGTAGCTTGCTAAAGGAGACCCAAAAGTACTGAAGAAAATAACACTTTAAAAATAGATTAACCCAAGTGGCAAAAAAGGTCCAAGAAGCCAATGAGGAGAAAAATGCTTTAAAAAGCAGAATTGGCCAAAGGGAAAAGGAGGTCCAAAAGCTCACTGAAGAAATTAATTCCTTAAAAATTAGAATGGAGCAAATGGAAGCTAATGACTCTATGAGAAATCAAGAAATTATAAAATAAAACCAAAAGAATGAAAAAATAGAAGACAATGTGAAATATCTCATTGGAAAAACAACAGACCTGGAAAATAGATGCAGGAGAGATCATTTAAAAATTATTGGACTACCTGAAAGCCATGATCAAAAAAAGAGCCTGGACATCATCTTTCCAGAAATTATCAAGGAAAATTGCCCTGGTATTCTAGAACCAGAGAGTAAAATAGAAATTGAAAGAATCCACTGATTACCTCCTGAAAGAGATCCCTAAAGGAAAACTCCTAGGAATACTGTAGCCAAACTCCAGAGTTCCCAGGTCAAGGAGAAAATATTGCAAGCAGCCAGAAATAAACAATTCAAGTATTGTGGAAACACAATCAGGAAAACGCAAGATTTGGCAGCTTCTACATGAAGGTATCAGAGGGCTTGGAATATGATATTCCAGAAGTCAGAGGAGCTAAGATTACAATCAAGAATCACCTACTCAGCAAAACTGAGTATAATCCTTCAGGAGAAAAAATGGATATTCAGTGAAATAGAAGACTTTCAAGCATTCTTGATGAAAAGACCAGAGCTGAATGGAAAATTTGACTTTCAAATACAAGACTCAAGGGAAGCATAAAAAGGTAAACAGGAAAGAGAAATCATAAAGGACTTTTTAAAGTTGAACTGTTTACATTCCTGCATGGAAAGATGATATTTGTAACTCATGAGACCTTTTCTCAGTATTAGAGAGATATGTAAGAATATATATATAATATATATATAATAATCTAATTAGATTCAGCCTCCTTCCTGGGAATCTCCAAATATTTCCCTTGTGCTTCCTTCACCATTTGGTGCTCTGATGGATTTCAAAATTTTGAGCTTGGGTGACTGGAAGGATGGTGATGAAACAGAGATGGAAAGTCAAGAATAGCCCATCTGAGAAAAAGATGTTCTTTTTTCCTAGCTCCTTAATCTTTTGATAATTTGGTATGGGACTAAATCTGTAAATTAATTTAGATAGTAGCCAGACATTTTTGACCATGGCAAGTATGTGGATTTCTTTTGCTTTACAATGCATATTTCTTACAAAGATGGTGTTTTTCCCTTTTCTGCAGGGGTTTAGCAGGAGGGAGTGGTGGAGAAGAGGAGAATTAGCAATAGGATTGCTTCTCCCCAAAAAAGAAAAGAATAAAAGGACATTGAAGCATTTTTTCAAAATGTACAGAAGAGAGCAGAAGGGAATTCAGAAGACAGACGAACAGGACAGCTTTAAGAGCAACATGTTGAATTTATTATATACTTTTTTTAAAACCCTATTAGATATTTGAAGTTTTAGATATATCCTCATTTCCTATTCTACTTTGTATATGGAAATATTCATTTTGGGGTATCTTCATTAAATTCAGAACAAAAAAACTTTTTAAAAGAAGCCTAGAAAAATGCTAAAATATGTGACTGTGAGGTCTAAGTTGGGTAAGGAAGAAAGCAAAACCTTCTTATAGTCATAATTGAATATTCTCGGGTCCTAGAAGACTTTCATTTGACTTCATTGACTATTTCTGAATTCCCTGTATCAATGATATGGAAAGCTTAGAGAGCATATCATAAAGATGATTAAAAGGTTCAAAAAAGTATCCTCTGAGGACACATAAAGGAAATTGTAATTTTTTTAGTCAGTAAACAACTAGAGCATACTCATCTTTCTGAAATGGTGTGGTAGGTGCTCCATTGGTTGCTACCTTTTGGTCCCTTCTACCTTCATAATTACGTGTTTTGTTGTTTGTTTGTTTTTTGGTAAGTAACCAGTGGTCATTCCTGTTTATTTGCTAGTGTTTTGAAGAAAAATGTAATTATTAGTTTGAAGGTGCCAGTTCATAAATCTTGTTCTCTTAGACTTTTTCTCCAGAGTGTATTGTAACCAAGAAAATTTGAAAAAGCATATTTTCTATCGTAGTAAAGACAGAAAGAAGGTTAAGAGTAGGTCTCTAACCTTTATATGTACTGTCTGAATAGAATTTTCCCATTAGGGTGCAGGTACTTAGCCATCCCAAAGTAACCTCAGAACAGTTACATGGTGATTTTCTCAGTTATCAACTAGGAATAATAAAAATAAACTCCCTAGGTTATGTATTGATTAAATTGAAAACAAACCCAAAGGACATTTCTCTTCCTTTCCTGCAGGGCTTCATCCCTGGATCCTTAGCTATCACTACCACATACTTTTTTAAAAAAAATTTTATTTTATTCTGAACTTAAGAATAAAACAATCATTTACGTAACATAGTAGAATAAAAAAAAGATGATTGTACATTAAACTTCAAATCTAATGTGTATAACTTGCCATTCTTTTAAGTATATAATAAAATTAGTATGTAACATTCTTTTTTTCCCCCTTTTTTCTTCCCTCCCTCCTCCCCCCACCCCAGAGATGGCTACCATTAGACACAAATTATACATACATACATACATATAGACACATACACACACACACACGTGTAAACCCATTCTATACATGATTCTGTTTATCAGTTCTTTTTTATTAATTTATTTATTTTTGGTTTTCAACATTAATTTCCAAAAGATTTTGAGTTCCAACTTTTCTCCCCATCTTTCCCCTCCCCCCACCCCAAGACAGCATGCATTCTGAATATCCCTTCCCCCAATCTGCCCTCCCTTCTTCTCTTATCCCCCTCCCCTTCTGTTTTTCTATAGGGCAGGATAGATTTCTGTACCCCATTGCCTGTATATCTTGTTTCCCAGTTGCATGTAAAAATAATTTTAACATTCTTTTTTAAAACTTTGAGTTCTAAATTCTTTCCCTTTCTTCCCTCCCCACCCACCAAGGCAAGCAATTCAATATAGGTTATACATGTGTTGTCACACAAAACACTTCCATAATAGTCATGTTGTGAAAGACTAACTGTATTTCCCTCGATCCTATTCCGCCCCTGTTTATTCTATTCTCTTCTTTGACCCTGTCCCATCTCAAAAGTGGTTGCTTCTGATTATCCCCTCCCCTAATTTGCCCTCCGTTCTATCTTTCCCCCCTCTCTTATTCCCTTCCCCCCTATTTTCCTATAGGGGAAGATAGATTTCCATACCCAATTGAGTGTATGTGTTATTCTCTGCTTAAGCCTAATCTGATGAGAGTAAGATTCACTCATTCCTTCTCACCTTCCTCCTCTTCCCCTCTACTGTAAAAGCTTTTTCTTGCTGCTTTTATGTGAGATAATTTACCCTACTCTGCCTCTCTCTTTCTCCTTCTCCCAGTACAATCCTCTCTCTCAACCCTTAATTTTATTTTTTAGATATCATCCCTTCATATTCAACTCACTCTGTGCCCTCTGTCTATATGTGTGTGTATATATATGTGTGTGTGTGTATATATATATATATATATATATATGTATATCTACTGCACTCCTCTCTCAGCCCAGTACAACATTGTTTTACTCAATCTTTTTGTGGGTTCTGCTGCTCTAGAATTTGTTTAGAGCCAATTTTGACAGGTATTTGGAGGGATTTGGGGGAGAGAGCTCAAGCAAGTCACTGCTTCTACTCCACCATCTTGGCGCTGCCCCACTACCACATACTTTTGCAAGCATTTTTATCCAGATGAGGGATAGCAGCAAGAATAACTCAAATTTTTCCTTGTATTTACTAGCAACATCAAGTGTATATGTGAGGATAGGAAGGAGAGAAAGCAAAAATTTCAGAACAGTGGAAGGTTAAAGTAACAAGGGAATCTAGAATCACAAGAGCATAGTTAAAATGTGTGACCGTAGGGTGAATAAGTGAGGATGTGAGGGTTGATGAGCAAGGTTCCCAGAGAAGAGCTGTGGTGATCTATAAACCCCCATCTCATTATCCCAGCATCAGCAGGGGAGACATTGTCTAGGACTCTGAAACTGTCATCTAGAAGACCATATCATCAAATCCTTAGCTGCCACTGTAGTGGGGGACAAGATTTTATCTTAGACAGAGTCCTAAAATTAAGTGCAGTCAGTCTGGTTTGCTGGTGCAGGCATTTTTTCTGAGAATTGAAACAGCTTTGTTTTTGCTTTGCTGTTTTTCTGCTAGCAGTTTGCCATATAACTTTATGTAAGTGATGTGGCCTCTTAGTGTCTCAGTTTCTATTAGTTAAGTCCTTTGTATGAATTCATTTCCATGATGAAACAGCCAACTTTCAGTTACCCAGGGTATGGTTATCTCATCTTCTTCTTCCTATCACTCATTTCAGTCCTAGGTAAGACCAAGGCTAGAGAAATAAGAGTACAGACAGAGATAGTGAAATCAAATCAGACAAAAGGGATTCTTTTTAGCAACTTCCACAAAAGTAATGTAGCTAAAATGATAACTCCCCTGCCCTTCCACCACCCACTTTTTTGTTGTTTCTAAATTTCCTTTATCAACATAGGATTTTTTAAACAATCTTAAGACATTTTTTGGGTGGAGCACATGGCTCACTTTTTTTAAATATATAAACTCAAGTGAGTTCAGATAGTAGAATTACTGAGAGGAAGATTTTTTTAAATGGTTCCATAATCTGGCATAACATTGAGTAAGTGTGGTCCCATAATCTGTAAATCACTCAGCCTTTCTCAAGTGCCCCATAATCATATGGCATTTTCATTAAATAAATACAGTTGTTGGAATTTCAGTCCAAAACCTCCTTTAAAGGAACATCAAAACTTAAAATGCCTGCATTACATTTGCATACCTAAATAATATCAATAAATACATAAGGGCAGAGAATGCCAAACATTCCCAGAGGCATGCATTCAAGTATTATTCACATGATTAAACAGATCCATGATGTTATTGATTTGAACATTACAGTGATGTAGAACAGAACTCATCTGTGCCTTCCCATCCTGTCTATGTGCTTAGGTATTTCTAGAGTGCAGTATTTCTAGTTGCTTGTTAAACCCTAATTAGGCATATGCTCTCTGTAGCATTGGGTAATTACTGGGAAGTGGTCTAGATGACCTCTTGAGGCTTTTATTAGCCAGTCAATTAATTAATCAACGAGTGTTTATTCAGTACCTAGTGTGCACCAAGCACTGTTAGTGCTGGAGATACAAAGTCAAGTAAGTGAAACAATCCCTGCTCAAAAGGAGCTTACATTCTGAGAAGATAATGAGGACACATATAAGTATATGCAGAATAAATGAATAAATACAAAGTAAAAGGTCGTTTGAGAAGAAGGACATTTGAGGGGATCAGGAAAGGCTTCATGTAGATAGTGTTGCTTGAGCTGCATCTTGAAGGAAGAGAGAGATTATATAAAACAGAGGTGAGGAGGGAGTATAAACAAGCCAGTACAAATGCACAGATATGAAAGATTTATTATTATTGTGTGAGAAACAGAGAGAAGGCCAGTTTGGATGGACAGCAGAGTGGGAGGAGAAGTTATGTACAGTGATGCTGGAAAGATAGACTGAAGCAAGGTTGTGAAGGACTTTAAAAACTAAACATAGTAGTTATATATTTTATTTTCAAGAGAATAGAAAGCCACTGGGAATGACACAGTCAGACTTGTGCTTAAGGAAAATCACATTGACCACAGTGTAGATGTGGACTGCAGTAGAAAAAGATTTGTGAAGGAAGACCAATGAAGAGACTATTGCAGTTATTTAAATGGATGGTGATGAGGGTCTGAATCAATTTGGTAGCCATGTAAGTATTGAGAAAAGGTCAAATTTAAGAAATATTGTAGAGGTAAGTAAATGGCAAGATTTGGCAACTAACCGAATATGTGGGCTGAGGAAGAGTAAAGAGTTGAGGATGATACCAAAGTTATTTACTTGGGAAACTGGAAGAATGGTATCTTTGGCAGAAAAAAGGAAGTCTGAAGAGGCAGGGTTTAGGGGGAAAGATAGTGATTTCTGTTGCAGACATGTTTTTTTGAGATTTCTACAGGACATCGTTTTGAAATGATGATGCAGGACTAAAGCAGAGGAGAGAAACTGTGACTGGAGATACAGATATGGAAGTCATTAGCGTAAAGATTATAATTAACCTCATGTTGTTGGTGGTTGGATGTTTGTTCCTAGCCTCTGTGTAAGATTTTCAGGATTTATAAGACAGATATTTTATGTGTTATTGGTGGAGTTTGTTTTTTCTTTTCGTTTGTTTTGTTGTTTTTTTTTTTTACCTAGCCCTGTTCCAGAATTTTCTTTGGTCTGTGATTTTTGACAGTTCTTTGTGAGGATCACTCCAAGGTGCTACAAGAGCTTAAATTACTGAAGAATGACATAATTATATGTTTTAGCTAGACTAAGACAAGAATGTGGACTGATATTCAGAATAATTTTCCACAGGGTCTGAAATAAAGAAGCTTTTCTGATTAGCCATAGAAGAAAATTCAATTAATCAGAACAATCCATTCCCAAAGCACTCCAATTAAACACATGCTTATTATAGTACAAAGATATGTTTTTATAAGTATAATTAATTAAAAATACATTGTATAACATGTTTTACCTCCCAGAGAACTCAAAATAATTTATATATGTTGAGTCTTCTTAGTATATAATAATAACAATAATAATAACTAGCATTTATATAGCATCTACTATGTACTAGTCATAAAGCTAAGTGCTTTACAAATATTACCTCACAAAAATCTTGAGAGGAAATAGGTGCTATTATTATCCCCACTTACATATGAAGAAACTGAGGCAGATAGAGGTTAAGCCCAGGGTCACACTGCTAGTAGGTGTCTACAGCCATATTTGAACTCAGTTCTCCTTGACTTCAGGTCCAGTGCTCTATCCACTGCACTACTTAGCTGCCACTAATATGTGAGCTGCTAACTATCTGAAAAATAATATAAAAAATTAATAATTCATATGTTTATTCCTTTACGATTTATAAAACACTAGAACAGCACTGTGAGATAGGTGGTAAAAGTAACACTGTCCCCATTTTTTAAATTAAATAAACTGAGACTGAGAAATCAGGTGTGTTGCCCAATGTCACTCAGCTAATAAACATCAGAGTCTAAATTCAAACCCAAGTCTTCTAATTTCAAGTCTAAAAATTGTTCCACTGTACCATGCTCACTTTTGTATTGCACAGTAAATGTCTTCTTTCCGTCTATTTCTTTTTCTAGCCCACTCAGACAGTGATGCCAGGACAAGTCATGCGGGTTACAACAGGTGCTCCAATCCCCTGTGGTGCTGATGCAGTAGTACAAGTAGAAGATACTGAACTCATCAGGGAATCCGATGATGTGTGTAACCCCCAGATCTTTTTTTTTCATTGTTCTATTGAATAGTTCTGTAAGTCTAATCCTTTTTTAAAAAACAAAACAAAACTCTGCAAGTCTGACCTGGGTCTTTCATTGTACTGGAACTTTGCTGTATTGAATATACCTCAACCAAATTACCCTTAAAATGGGAAACCTTTTGTGTTGATTTCTGTTAAAATTATATATATTCTAACAGAAATTGACCTATATTTGGCCCCAGAAATTTCAGGTGCAAATAAGGAATGACAATCCATCCTAAGGGACCAGTGACTGTGATATTAAAGGTATGTGTTGCTTTTAGGTGGGAATTATTTCATAATGTAGCTGACCTGTGAACAAAGAATACGGAAGTGATGAATTTAAACTCCAAGAAAAAAAAACTTTAGTAAAACATTGAATGCTTCTGTACCTAAGACAGTCAAAATGACTGGCCAGTTCAAAATGACCTTTTTAGAGCTGCTTTTCATATGATTCAATGAAAATGTCAATAAGTTTACTTTCAGCCTCTCCTATAATACTTAAATCTAAGGTCTCTTATGACCCGAATAAGCTTTCTTCTCAGTGAAGCCAGATGGAGTGTTTGAGGTAGAATATGAACAGTACTGAGAGTGGAATGGCTTCAACATTTCTGGAGCTTTATCTTACTTTTGTTGCAAAGTGCTTTGAAATATCTTCTATAAAAGGAACAAAGGAATTTATATTAAAAGGAAATGCATTTGCTCCAGTGCTTAATCTGTCATATAGATTCAGCTGTATTGAAGCACCACTTTCTTTGGTCTAAGGAGGGGTTTTTGGTTTGAGTTTTTAATCACTTAATCACTTGCAAGTCTTACAAAACTCACCAGTGGGATACAAATCATGTTGTCTGCATATTAAAACTCTCCAAACATATTTATTGACATCAAGAAAACCAGCAAAACATTGAGATCCAGAACACCCGTGCATGCAAGTTTTGTTGGACAACAACTAGCTCCAATGTCATCATATTTACAGTCCATAAATGTAGAATTGATTGTCACCTTTTCTTCATACGAATTGACCAGATGACAAATAAAAGCCTTTCACTTAAAGTATTCCCACAAAATCTTGGCTTATCGATAATTTCATGATTCATGACAATGGAAGGGAAATATCTTCTTCATTCCCTATGTAAGCATAGGGACAACAATAATGTTTTCATTAAATGACTTTGGCCCTGAGAATGGTACCTGAAAGTAAATTTCTTTGAATTGGGTTGATCCATAAAAGGAGGAGGCTGTGAAAGAGGAAAAACTATGTAATTTTTTCCTTGCCTTTTAGCTTCTCAAGGTTTCAGGAACCTCAAATGCTAATGTTTTTTAATTTAGCAAATGGTTTTTCATTTCCATATATTTCTATCCTGAGTCTGTCCAATGAGGGAAGCAAGTAAAACCTTTTGAATGGACTTGGAAATTAATCTGTTTTGTTAGATTGACCTGCGTGCAGTCACATAACATGTTCTTGTTCCAGGGCACTGAAGAACTGGAGGTACGGATTCTAGTGCAAGCTCGCCCAGGCCAGGATATTAGGTAAGTAGGTAACCTTCTTCAAAATATGAGAATATATAGCCAACTTACAAACACACACATACATGTACATGTAGTCATTGTCAGGAGAGCATGAATAGTATTATTATACAACTAATATAAATAGCTACTAGTTTAAGCTAGTTCTTTCAAAAAAATTTAATTTTTTACAAAATTTACTGACAAGCTGCAGTAAGTACCACTCTAGATTTGATTTCTTCATTTTTCTTGTGCCCATTCTTTAGTGCAAATGCAAGGACAAAAGGAAGTATGAGGAGAAAGAAAGGTTATGGACCATCATGTTCCATAAACTGTGCAATCAACCTCTAGCTCTGGATAACCAAGGACTGGCTATTTCAGGGGATGGAGTTTGCTTAATTGAAAGCAGTAATGTGGTAACAGTGGGCTGCCCTTTCAAAATGCTACTGATACAAGATCAAAGTGTTTTATCTACCTACTTCCCAAATTCTCTCCTGTCTTTACCCATTTCTTCACTTCATTGATATCCTTCACTAATGTTGAAGAATACTTTGAAGAGGAAGGCATGTGGTTTAAAGATTTCTTGTAGGCAGGTTAGAATTGCACTGAACCTGTGTATTCTGACATGACCACCCACTGCTCTCTGCCCATGCCACTGCCACTGTCCCTTGAAAACCAAAGCACACATCCTCCAGAGGACTTGCCAGATAGGGTTAAGGCATTGTCTATGCCCATTGAATGGAGAGGATCAAACTACCCCATGTGAGACTCAGACTCCAAACTAACTTGGCTAACATAGTTCTCTAACCAGCTGAATTTATCAGCCACATTAAACATCCCAAATACTGAAGATTACAGATTAGTTACCTTCATACATTCACATATCCACTCTGTGCGTGTATGTGTGTGTGTGTGTGTGTGTGTGTGTGTGTGTGTGTGTGTGTGTGTGT